TTAGGGGATCTCTAACTACTCCTACCAGTGTCATCTTCCCATTACTGTACCAACTTTGCCATGTAACCATGTCTCTGTTTTGACTGTCAGACCATATATATTAACCTCTCTATTTAATTCATTTTATGTTCTTCACATCCTATATGCACTTAAGTGAACATTCATTAATTCTGTCTGTTTACCATCCAACGCTGCCCCCCCCACCACTCCCAACACCCATTTAACTCCTTGACTTTATTTATCCTATGCCAGTTTACCCCATGGCTCAGGTGGTAATTCAGAGATTATTACCTTGGAGGTTCTGCTTCTAAATTTTTAGCTCCTGACTGTTAAAATCCTTTCAACTGATCCTCCTTCCTAGTCCTGTCGATGGTGTGGTACCAATGTGAATGATGATGACTGAATCCCTCCCCTCCCTCTCCAAGTTCCTCTCAAGCCCTAAGGAGATATTCTTAATCCTAGCACTGGACAGGCACCACAGACATTGGAACTCTCACTCATAGCTGCTGAAACAGTTTCAGTCCCTCTAATAAGGCTGTCTCTACCACTACCGCTGTACTTTGGTCAGTTCACATATCCTCTCTGCAGTCTACCCTCTTTCCGTCACAGCTTTCAGGAGCCTAGTAACTGTTAGACAATTGCAGGAGTGGATGCTCCCTCAGACTGGCCTCACCTGTAGTCACACCTTCCTGCTCCTGATGATAGACGAAATTTGAATTGCCTAATCTGAGAGTTGTGACCAGCTCCTGGAGTAAACTGTCCAAGTAATTTTGCTGATCTGTGATGAGGTGCAATGTATACATCTTGGATTCCAGCACCTGAACTCAGATCCGACTTTCTTCAACTTGCTACAGATGTGTTCAGCCTGGATCACCTTAGTGTTCAGCAGCTCCCACATGCTGCTGCAGCAGCACATCACCCACCCTGCCATCGCTATCATTCTTTATTAATTGGTTAATCACTCTAGCATCCTTGTCCTTTACATTTGAAGGATGCTCTGCTCTTTACACTTTATTGTAATTAGATTCTTTTTAATACCAATGTGAATCTTATACTTTAGTTATTTTTATGAAAAAGAGATGAAATAAAAGATGAGACCTAAATACAAACTGAAGACCTTTTATCTAGAAGCCTAGAAATTCTCACCAACACCAGTCGTTAATCAGCTGCTTTCCCTGCACTTGTGTCGTGTTGTAGTTCATAATGTCAGTGCGCCCCTGATCTCACTAGGTAGGCTTCTCGCTCCATGTCACTTGTCCTCTCTGGACGCTTCTTGAACAAACCTTACTTAATGAATCTCTTTCTTCCTCTGCTCTGAATTCCCAGATGTACTCACCCAGCCTCTGTTTCACTCAGGCCATGTCTCCCTCACACTGACCATGCTTCTTACTGACCGACCAAACAAACAAACATGCAAATCAGGAGCAGGAGTAGGCCATTCAACCTCTCTGGCTTGTTCCACCATTCAATAGAATCACCGCTGATCTGATTATGTTTCTGGTTAGCTTTCTCTTGTACTCCAGTATTTCGCTTTCGATTAATTTTTTGCGTCAAACTTTGCTTTTGTTTATATTCTGTCAAATCTTTTGACCTGGCACCTGTCTTTGCACGATTATGTGGTTTTTCTTTTAGTTTGGTATGCTCTTTAACATTTCTGGTTAACCACAGATAGTGAGTCCATTCTTTGGAATTTTTCTTACAGGGAATTTATCTATTCTGTATATTATGAAATATCCCCTTAAATGTGTGCTACTGCATCTCTGTTGATCTTTCCTAAACCTAATTTGATAAAGCATTTTAGTCAGAGCTGTCATACCCTCATAATTGCACTTATTAGAATTTAAAAAATAGTCTTGGGCCCACAGCCTTCTCCATCAAACTGAAATTCAATCCAATTATGGTCAGTGTTAACTAGGGGTGTGTTAACTATAAAATAGTTAATTAATCCCACCTAATTGCACAATACCAGGTCGAGTAAAGTCTGTTCTGTTTGGCTGTAGAAGCTGCAGGTTTAAAAAAAAATTCTGAAAATATTCTATAAAGTCTTTATCTAAGCTATCTTTGCCCATCTGAGTTTTCCAGTCAATGTAGATTAAAATCTCCATGGTTATCACTTTACCTGTCTAACAAACACTCATTTTTTTTAATGCTCCACACTACTGAGTGGTTACTTTTAAAGGACTTGTATACTGTACCGAAAGTGACTTGTCTTTATTTATAATTTCTGTGCAAACATCTTGTTCTCTTCTATATCTTGATTTACTTAGGTCATTCCTCTCTGTTGTGTCAATATTATGGTTAAATGTCCTGTACCCTCCGAAGACGCAGATCCCAATTCATGTCATCCTTAAGACATGTTTATTCAATTCAACTTTTCGTGTTCTCTGGACGCTGCAAAGTAATTTGCAACTAATGAATTATCTCTGAAGTATAGTCACTTGTGAATAAGCACAGGTGTCAATTTGTACACAAAGTCCTAACAATAAGTATGGAAATTATTCTACTTATAAAATTATATAAATCACAAACTTAAGTTGACTCTTCACTGCAATAATTAGAGACTACCATGGAGTTACTGTCTACCACAGTGATGGCCTTGCCTTTGGCGTCTGGGCCCCCTGCATAATTGCAAGAATGCTTGACTTTAGAGTACACCTGTTTTTAAGTTTTAATCAACGTGTTACCTTGCACTTAGTGCCTTTGAATTTGATTTACTTTTTAACTCATTACATCATATTACCAATAACTTTTTGCTACCTCTTCTGGTCTCCTCATTTAATTATATCTTTTATTTTGTTGTCTTCAAAGTTTGGCACTACCTCACTTTAGTCCTATCTAGTAGTATAAGCAATGAACTGGGATTGCCCCTAATCTAACCTAACAATTCGCTTCTGCCACTCTGGAGAAAATTGCCCTGGAATCCGACTTTTCTCTGTCTTTTGAACAGTCTGGGTACAATTTATCTCCTCAATTCTGTAAGTCTTAATCATTTCTTGCAATATGCCATTTGGTATCTTGTCAACGGCTTCCAAAAATTTCACATACGTTTACGTTTTCCCTACCTACCATTTCATTTCCTCATTGAAACTGTGAGGTCTTTTGGAATTTTTCCTTTTTGAAATCTGTGCCAGCAACTTCTAATTATTTTCTCTTCTATCTTGTTATGTAGTAGCTTCATCCTTGGAAATCTGAAAAATTCCCTCTATTATACATAATAGGTCTACTGGCTTATCATTACTCTGTTTCCAATTTAAAAATGCGTAAAATATTGATCACTCTCCAATTCTCTGCAGCATTCAACAGTGACTTGAGGCATAACTAATAGGGCCTTGGAAATTCCATTTCCCATGGTGTTTTTGGATGCACTCTGTTGGACGCTAGCACTTTAATTTGTTTTGTACTGTATTTAAGATTTTCTTCTATCAATTATATTATTGTTGTTTTTGCTCAAAACTTCAGGAATTGCCTCCTCTCTGATAGCTACTTACTAAGTGGTTAACTTAAACCTCCCAAAATCAGATGTTTGTTTTTATTAGTCTAATTAGACAGAATATTTCTTCATCTGTTTCCTTCTCACATATAATAATAGTGTGGAACAGAAAGAGGTCATTTGACTCATTGTTTGTGTTCCTGCACTCTCAAAGAATGTTCCAGTGACACTTCTGTTTATTTGTATCCCTGAAATTTTTTCCTCTCCATGTGTTTGTCCACTTGTTAATGAAAAAAATCATTTTTTAATAGCTTTCATAGTCTGTCAGGCAGTAATTCAAACCTTTATCACTAATTT